TATGACATTTTTTTCATCCGGTTCCAAAGAAAATTAAAAAACTTTGTATCACAAGGAGAATCACAGCTACGCCGTTATTACGCAACCAATGTTGTTGACAAGTCAAAATTTACGAATCTTAATTGTAGCGATGTTCAAAATGGTGTCTACGAGCTGCAATGCACTCGCGTAGACGGTGAACAAAAGATTATTTTGCATTCTTTATGGCCTCTCCTCTACACTGATGGTGACTGAAGACGACTGAATGGATGCGTATAACGGCGTAGCTGTGATTCTCCTTGTGATAAGGAGTATTTAGTTTTTTAATTTTCTTTCGAACCAGATGAAAGAAATGTCATGTCCTTACATGTGCCGGACTCGTCTTGAAATCCTCTAACAGACAGGCGTAAAAAAATTATATGTTCAGTTGCAAAAATTCAAGGTAACCTTGAAAAAACATTTAAAAAAAGAGTTGACCAGTAATTTTTCACTATCACGTTAAAGCTCTCTTGAAACCATGCAAAAGCTGATAAAAACATTTTCGATCGGACTGCTAATAACAAAGTAATCTCTACTGATCACGCTCCGTGGTCCACCCTGTATAATAATTTGGCATGATAACGATTTCCGGGACGTCAAATTTTAACGATGGAATTAGCATTTCTGAACAGAGATGAATATAAAGATCTGTGATCTTATTTCCTATTCCGAATAAAAAGTTTTAAACCAAGAAAATACCATAAAGTAATCATTCATATCGATTCTCCGCATATTAGATTACCATTTGTAAGCCACAGACATGTGAAATTCACGTTCGAAATACAGCACCTCGGATATCGCAGTATCGCCAATAATTATATAGTGGCGAAAGGATATATTTATTTAATAAGTGATTAATCTTACCTTGTGATATTGACAAAAATTGACGATGACAGGCAAACATATTCCTGGAGCCGGATTTTTTGTTTCTGCCACTGGTCGAATTGACTCAGGCATTGTGACCATTCCTGTTGTATACATTGTCTTGTTCTCGAACCTTACTGTGTAGACAGGATAAGCTACAATTGCAATGAGTATAAACAGATAAAATAACATATCACATACAAAATCCGTACAATATTAAATATTTAATTTTTTAAAATAACATTGAAAACAAAATTAACCCTTGAAGTGCGGGTGACACACTGAGCACGACATCAAAAAGTCTGTATCTAAAAAAAGTTGTCAATATATTCCAAATTCGAAAAAATGGGAATTAAAATGTAATAGAAACACAGCAATTTTGACAATAGATCATATTTTAATGTCGAATATATTTAAAGTTATGTTGCTTGACAAAATTATATTTGCGTGTGAAGTTTTTACGCCGCATAGGCCCGGCCCATATAGTCGCTCACGACCAAAGGTCCCTGTACTTGAAGGGTTAAATCTGCTACAATCTCAAAATATTTTACGAAATTCATTTAGCACGCACACACACATTTATATGTAAAATGTAACTGCTCCAGAACCCCAATTTGAAGAATTTCCAAAAGAACCACATTCCGCATATGAAGAGATAAACATTTAAAAATATTAGTTTATTTATCCATTCGGCCTCGGCCAAAATATTTTCAATTGGGCTCCTCAAAGTCAACTGAATGTATTTCCACAGAAGTTGCTTAAATGAATCAATTATATTTTAATTAATGGAAAAAAAAGAAAATCAAATGCAAACATGACTATATAGTAAATTCGTCAATTTTATTTCCAACTCGTTGTAGTTTAATTGGAAAATTTTTAAATGATGATTTGTTTTTCAAAAAAATTGATAAAAATTGTTCAAGTGCAATTTATTAACCCCTTCACTGTCAGGGACCCCTACAGGGACAAAAAAGTCGAGCCACTTTTGCTTATTGACACTTATAGAGGCATCTTGAAAAAAAAAACATTTTTATATTATTACGATCTGAATATCCTTCGATATCTTAACATTTTTGAGATTACTGTATCTGAATCTGAAGTCAAATTTGTAAAACATTAAATTGCGGATCGAATATCCAAGAAAATACATTTTATTCCAATTTCACGACCGAAATATTTAAGACGACTGGAAAAGATGAAAAATACAATTCGTACTATTTTATGTTATTTTGTACACTTAGAAATAGCAATATATTCTGCTAAATTTCGTTCCACAATAACTTTATTACCCTTGCAGAGCTGAATTTCATTTTTAACCCTTTGGGTACGGAGGAGCTGACCGCGGCTATACATTCATGGTACGAGGAAGTTTTCCACAAGAGTGGTTGCACTGCACGGCAGCGTAAAACACGAAAACGTGTTTTGCGTCATTCACAGTCATCAGCGACTGACGTGGCATTTAACGTATTTAAACAACATTTCGAAAATGTCTATACTGCTTTGTCGTAACCTAAACCAATCCTCCGCCGTAAGCCGATTTCGACGGAATTTTATCTGGCGGATCAGATAGAATGACAGACAAAACAGGCTTGGCGCTTAACGTTTTAAACACAGAGTAGTAAAGTAATGCGTACTATAGAGAATAATCATACCCACATAACTTTCCGAAGACGCCGCCAATCGTCGGCAGTAGTACCGAAAGGGTTAAAACGTGCATTGTTTATAAAAAACTCTTGTTTATTGAGCACACTCCAACCCATTAGAAACCGTCAACTGCAGTAGTAACATCCTTTATTATTATAACTCATTTTCAATTATCTCCATATTTATTCTTCAGGAATAAAATATCTAAATAACCAGCCAGTATAACTATTAACCAAACTTTTGTCTTTATGAGTCAATCCTGTGGCTTCTAGATTATCGACCGAGATTGATAAGTTTCCAATTCTACCGCATGATAATTCCTGTTCCATTTCCCTCAGTCGCGCTTATCCAGTAAAGTGCTGGGCAGGAATTTCAAATGGATCACGATGCTCGGTCCTTGATTTGGGGCTACCTTGTGGTTGCGTCACACGTCAGCCTCGTCTGACGCTATTGAGGGTTACACTATTAAGAGGTTTATTATACCAATTATGTTCGGAATGGATGACAATATTATTGAATAATAGCAAACACGAAGTCTGCTAGTATTAATATTTCTTTAGATGAAGTGTTTGGTGTAGTTGAGTAGTTGAAGGGTTTG